TACAGTTACAAATGTCTTTGCAAGAGACTGTAGGATTAAAGGGAAATAAGTTGATACAATATGGTATCAACTTTAGGATATAATATCATTTAAACTCTAATGAAATATCTTTCTTGAGATTATTTTGACATATAGGAAATGATACTGAATTTTCAAGATGATCTTATATTGGGAGTGCATAAATTATAACCCCAAATAGTTCCATTCTCTCTCAGTATTTTCCACTATAAATTGACTTGTGTTTTTAGTGGGTCATCAATGCATTTTTTCATTGCCTATTCAGCAAATTCAACCCAGAATTTTAAAATACAACTGCACTTTTTAGTGCTTCATTATTACAAACAATAAGGAGCCTGCCCTTAGAAGTTTCTTAGGAAGATGCTGGATTTACCTGTTGAACAGAAGGTTTTACCTGTTGGAATGAACTTTTTGCTCCTTCTCTTCCTTCTTTTCTTCTTCCCTTCTCCTTCTTTTTTTTTTAAATATTTTATTGATTTTTCACAGAGAGTAAGGGAGAGAGATAGAGAGTTAGAAACATCGATGAGAGAGAAACATCGATCAGCTGCCTCCTGCACACCCCCTACTGGGGATATGCCCGCAACCCAGGTACATGCCCTTGACCGGAATCGAACCTGGGACCCTTCAGTCCGCAGGCCGATGCTCTATCCACTGAGCCAAACCGGTTTCGGCCCCTTCTCCTTCTTTTTCTTCTTTGCATCTTTATTGGTTGTCGCATTAGGTACTTTCTGATGTTCTTTGGGTTGTCACCATATTGTCACTGGAATAACTTTTGTGGATAATAGACAGGTAGAAATTAAGTTGAATAATAACATAGCAATTTTATAAAATAGTTTTTTTTTGGTTCAGTATAATTATACATGATGTCTAATATCTTGGGTGTAACAGATTCCCTAAACTTTTCCTTACTCTTCATTCCCACAAACCTGAATCCCCTTACACACACACACACACACACACACACACACACACACACACACACACTGGCCCCATGCACCCTATGTTTATATTCTCTCAAACTTTGTATCATGTAGGGTTCTGGCTTTCCCTTTAAATTCCACATTTGAATATATACTATGTGTGGTAAATGTTATCTTCAATGCTTAATTATGGAAATGTGACCTAGAAAAGCTGTAAATAAGAAAGCTTAAGGAGAAACCACTGCTGATTCATTATTTATTTGGCAGATATTGAGTAGTGACTTCTAGACCAAGATGCTATGCAAGGCAATGAGAATAATAGTACAAGTTTCTAGGGCCTTCACTTGCCCACGGGATAGTAGGAGTCTCAATAAGATTTACAGATGAAAATAATTCCCCAGAGACTACATCTGTTGGATACATCTATTTCCATGGCCTATGTATGACATGTGGCATACAGTAAGTGCTCAATAAATATTTGTGGAAAGAATAAGTGACGAATCAGGGGCACTATCAAAATATTTACAAAGTTCTATATGAGAGTTCAACTAAGGCATTTTATGCCAACATTTAATGACACTTCATTCCCTTTATTTATCCACTTTGTACCCAAAAAATAAGGTAATATTTTTATCCCTGAAATAAAGTGAAGTAGTCATATATCTAGTTTATTTTAAAAATGACATTTTGCATATCAAAATGCCTGGCACAATGCCTGAAAACAAAAGTAGACATTCAAGTAATATAATCTCTTAGTTTTTTCTTTCTCATTTGTTACTTTCTTTCATTCTCTCCTTCCACTTAAACTTCATTCTGAGATGGACTTAAGTGTTATAGGTCCTAAAATTTATATGCTTTTGGGGACCCTCTTTGAAAAATAAATATAGTATGATGAAATTAAAGTTAAGTACAAAACTGAGTAAGGTAAGAAAATAAATCACAAAAGACTACATTTTAAAAGCTGAAAGTTATTACAAAGATTATAATATCTGGAGAATACTAAAATATTTTAACTATTTGATTCAATTCATTTTTTGCCTTATTTTGCATTTATATTCTCTGAACACACCTCCTCTTCTTATAACAATTTCAGATAAGACTCATGATGTACTTCAATAAAATAGGTCTTAAAGGATGAAAAGAGTTGACCAAATTTAGAAATGGGAAAATAAGTTTTTTCAAGAGAGCATAAAATAAAAAAAAGATCAGCCTAGTTAAAGATCATGGGGGAACTTAGCAAATGTAAAAATCTCTTAAAAGCTGGTTATAGTGGATGAAATGAGTGACAGGTGACAAAATAGAATATTGGGTTGGAACCAGGTTGCAAAGGGCTTTGAGCACCAAAGTAAAGACTTTGGATCTATCCTGTAGACATTGAGGAATCCATCACTAGAGGTTGTAAGAAGGGAAATGGTAAGAATAGATGCAAGGTACTTGAATGGTGTGCCTTGGTTACATGAGTTAGGATATGGCTTTGAGGATGAAGAGAAAGAATGGAGACTTAGGAGGAATTCCCACTGAGTAGTGAAGGGCTCCAGTGGGTTATAGCCAGTGTGCTACACTGAAGAGAAAGAGTAGGTAAGGGTAAGTCATTTTCCATTTCTCAAGATTTTAGGAGGCAGATGCAGACCCTCCCAAAGAGAACAGTTTGTAGTTTTTACCACTAAAAAGTCTAATTACAAATTGGTTTTTGAACTGATTTTTTAAATGAACTTGTTAAATCTCCCAAAGCACACTATCTAAAGTCATTGTCACCTTGTGGTTCATATAAAATGTTCACACAAGTGTTTGTCCCTGCCTAACTTGAGTAGTTTTCTCACTCTCCTTAGATAGGTAAAGCTTCATAGTTGGTTTTCTATTTCTGTTTTAGCCAAAGAAACCAATGTCCCTGCGTTTTGCCAGGGAAATCTTTACCTTGGAAAGACATTATGTACAATTTTGGATTTCATTACTTTTCCCATAAGAATCGTCATTAAACTTGATATTGTCTAGTAAATGTGATTATTTACAATGCGTAACTATCTTGCATTAGTTTGTATCTTTCATGTTAACTCTGCTTTCATTACCAATATCTATCAGTTAGGATTAGGATTAACTCTGTGTTGCACAGACTTATTTTCCTACAAAAATGGCAGACCTAGGACATTGAATGTGTGACTGGTGCCACTTCTCTACAAAGTCCTCGGGGACCCAATTCCTTCCAGCTCACCTGCTACCACTCCCTCAGGAGAAGCCCTTGTTCTCATGGTCTAGTCATGATCCAGCTGCCACTGTTTAAGCAGCAGTTAGGTAAAGCGTTGAGATCAGGGCAAGAGACACTTATGAGCTGTCTTTAGGGAAGGAGGCTTTATGCATTAAGAGACCCTTCTGCCTACATCTTCTTGGCTAGTACTGAATCTGTAGCCACACTAGCTGCAAGTTATATAGGGAAATAGCTAAATCACCTGTTATTTTGTAAGAGCGTAAGAACAGATATTAGGAGAAATTAAACTTGAAATGGAAGAAGGGGGGAAATAGGATATTTGGGGCAGGTAACCACATTAAAGAGCCAGAAAGGCTTTGTTCAGATGCTGTTTTACCCGGCTTATCTCTTTGAACCTGTTTGCCCTTCTAAAATTTAGGATGATCATTCTGTCCTGAACTCTTCCTAGTGTTTGTGGTGGCAGGTCAAATACAATAATGGATTTATCAGCACTTTGAAAATTGTGTTGCACAAATATGAAATATTATTGTTTTTAAAGTACTAAGTAATCTTCTGAATATAAATTCAATATTACTAGGGTGATATATGAGTTTTTGCATCAGACCCTAGGCTAACCTTACTTGACACATGAACATTATATATTAATGATAAGTAACTCATAATATAAGAGAGACCACATCTCTGTTTATGAAAATTTTTAAGAACATGATAATGCATTTGCTTATTCTTTCAGTTTTGTGCAGTGAGGATTATTATGCCCATTTTACAGACAGAAAAACTAAAGCAGAGAGGTTAAATGAACAGCTCCACATCATGCAGCTTCTGAGTGGTGGGTTTTAGAAGCTATGTTGTCTGCAAGGCTCACACATTTTTGTAATCTTGCTGCGTGAATCCTTTTATGCCAACTTCTGGCTGCCCATTTGGAAAGTCCAGATCTCTAAGATTAGAATGCCAGAGTCTCAGTTATTTATCCCTACCTTATCTACATGGTGTTCTTTTCCATTTCTTCCCAATGTGAAATAAATCCTCCAATCTGCCAGCCCCTTCCTGTGCACACCCATTACCCTGCAGAGCCACCTAATTTACTGCCACGCTAAATGTTCTTTTGTCCCTGGCTCACTCAACTGCTGTCCTTTCTTTAGGTGTCAACGCAGGTTCCATCTTCTGTGTAAGATATTTCCCGACTACTTCATTCCACACAGACCTTCCATTTTCCTGAACTCTGTAACACAGAGAATATATATAGAATGCATATATTACATTTAATTATAGACATAAATTATACACTGTATCAGATGATTCCATATGTCTTAGCTTTCTTTCCCCAACAAGACCTTAAGGTCTTGTACTTCTTAAGTTATTTCAGTAGCACAAGGACAGTGGTGAGAACAAAGGAAGAAGTCTGGCATTTGTTACAAAGATCATACTTTATTAGCATTTTTTTTTTTACTATAAATATGTTCCACTATTGAAAAAATTGTGGTTTAAATTATTTGTTATAAAACAAACATCTGATATTATGTGGTTTGAGTGTTGTTCATTTTGCGGAGGGGAGATCTTGAATTCTCAGATCCAGGTGGGGCCCTTAGAAACCTTCTAATGTAAACCCTTCATTACAGATGAGTTCATGTGGTTTACCTGGAACCACATAGTGGTGATGCAGAGACAAGAAGGGTGAGTTGTCCTCACCCTTAGACATTCATTCTCTCCCATTCTCCCTCTTCCTTTTTTACTCCTTCTCCCTCTCCCTCTCCATTTTGGTTCACAGTTTTTAATTCCCAAAAAAGTTATCTTAATAAACGAGATGATTTACTCAAAAGGTCACTGATCCCTTTCTTCTCTGTCTTTTTCCTTTCTAGCTCTCTTCAATCTAATTCCCGTGGGCCTGCGTGTGGTGGCCATCCAAGGGGTGAAGGCCAGCCTCTATGTGGCCATGAATGGTGAAGGCTATCTCTACAGCTCAGTAAGTCCCTTTGTGTGTGTGTGTGTGTGTGTGTGTGTGTGTGTGTGTGTGTGTGTGTAAACTGGCATTGGAGTAACCATCATTCCATTCCATTATTTCAGGGGGGAAAAAGTGGCAGCTGACATAATTCTATGTTCTCTGAGCCAGTATGTCAGGGTTATTATGAAGATTTTATAATTCAAAATGTTACAAACAGTGTCCTGTTGAGAAAGAGCTAGTCACTTCCCTGCAATGTAAATTCTCTTCATCTAGCTTCCGCTTCTGTAGGATAATCTACTTTTTGAATTTTATCTTTATGTTTAATGTAAGAAGTGAGTCATCTTTCCTTTCTCCTGTTGCCTCTTCTTCAAGCACAGAGGATGGTTTGGGAAGCTAGATTCTTCAGTTTGTCTGGGAGTCTTCTCTGTCTATGGAGGAAGAACTTTGAAAATAGATTATGCTTTTGTTGTATTTAATAAAATCTGTGCAGTACCTGATGGGTCAGATTCCTGGGGTAACTGGTCACTTTGAAGGCAATGTTAATGTGTGGGCTGAGCCCTGGATTAAGGGCTGGGATATTTAAGTTTAATCTGCATTCAGTTTCTCTGAAGTTATCCCTTTGAGCAAGTTACCTCCTCTCTTTGACTGAATTTCTGGACCTTTAAAATGATGCTGTCTAACGTCATTTTTAAATCTGAAGCTGATAAAAGTAGGTAACATCAGTGGCTACATTATCAGCACTAACATGTTGTAAAGAAGTTAATGATATTCTAACACCAATTCAATCTCAAGATAATAATTTATGCATTGAGGGAGAATGTGGTTGCACGAAAACTTGTGTATATATAATTTCTGTTCTCTTATAAGGGAGTTGTCTATTTGTAGTTCAAGAAGAAATATCCTGAAAATCATTGCTACAGATTTCCACTTTTACTTTCTGTGTTCTCAGTAAATAACACAAGGTTATTCAGGAAGTTCTCTTATGCTTACAAGATACTAAATCAGTTATTGAGTAACTGCCATTAAACTTTTTAAATATTCAGTTAAATGGATTTCTGGTATATTATGCTTGATATTAGTAATGTATCTGTCATTCATAGTAGAATTCTTTTTAAAAAATATTTTTTAAAATATATTTTATTGATTTTTTACAGAGAGGGAAAGAGAGGGATAGAGAGTTAGAAACATCGATGAGAGAGAAACATCAATCAGCTGCCTCCTGTACACTCCCTGCTGGGGATGTGCCCACAACCAACGTACATGCCCTTGATCGGAATCGAACCTGGGACCCTCAAGTCCGCAGGTCGATGCTCTATCCACTGAGCCAAACCGGTTAGGGCTAAAAAAATATTTTTATTGATTTCAGAGAGGAAGGGAGAGGGAGAGAGAGATAGAAACATCAGTGATGAGAGAGAATCATTGATCGGCTGCCTCCTGCATGCCCCACACTGGGGATTGAGCCCACAACCTGGGCATGTGCCCTGACTGGGAATGTGACTTCCTAATTCATAGGTCAATGCTCAACCATTGAGCAATACTGGCTCTCATTCTTGGTGTGCCATAATTCTAACAGTTCTTAATGTCCAGTTATTGTGAGTCTGTGCTTTAAATGTAAAAATGAAAATAAGAAAAAGAAGATAGCAGGTTGTTATTTAAAGTAATTTTAGTTTCTTAAACTTAAAAAAAATTGAATGTATTCCAAGCTAAAATATGGAGATGATCCTAGGGATAATATGGTTTAAGGATTTAATCAGCCATCCAGTCAACAGCTAAAGGTAGAGTATATTACGCTCATATTTATATTTAGAAGGTGATTATTTATTTAAGAGTTTATAATTCAGGGTGTAGTTCCATAGAAGCTGTAGAGTTTATTTCTCTGGACCAGAGTGATTTCCAAAGGTCTAGGAGGAGGAAAAACACCGAGAGTCTGGCAGTGGTAGTATAGGCAGGTGGCAGTTGTGTAAGAGCCTGTGTGTGTGTGTGTGTGTGTGTAGGGGGCGGAAGTGCGGAGGGGTCACCCTGTTGGATGCAATCCCAGAGTTCCTGGGAGGAGGCTGGATTTTCAGTATGAGATGACTAACCTTTATACTCTGCAGCATTTTCAGAGATTCATGGCTTGAGCCCATCAGAGGAGGTTTTAAGAAATTCTTGCCAAGAGAATCTTACTGGAGGTGCTTTATTTTTTTTGTTTTTTGGTAAAGGAGCTAATGCCTTAGTAAAGCCAGTAGTCAGCTGTTGCTGAGTTACCTGTTTGAGGTTCCTGGAGTTTCAGTTTTCCTCTTCACTTAAATGAAACCTGCCTCATACCAAGAATTGCAATGCTTTTCCCTGTTTATGGTCCTGCCAGGCTACTGGGAGCAATTTTCCTTTATAAGCACTGGCATCGATCATGAGGCCTCCTCCTTTCACCCTCTTTCTGGATAGGACCAATAGGTGTAAATGCTGATTTTAAATTTTAAATAGGGGTATAGGTCTAAGATGCTGTAATAGCGCTAAAAGGGACCAGTATGGGGGAAGCAGACCCAAAAGAGAATTGGGTGTCAAGGCTTTATCAGCTTCATACTGCTGCTGTCTGTGCGGATTGCCTCAGCAGGAGAGCACTAATGCAGCCAGGAGCCCAGCCCTGTGGTGAATTAAAGACAGGCAGTTAACATAGGCTGTCCTGGGTGTTTTTGTATATATTAAGGTTTGAAGTTATTTGAAGAGCAGTTTTCTACTTTATGTGCAACGGTGTAGTTGGGCATACCAGTAAGGACCATAACTGAGTATATGATGGGGAAGGAGTGGGAGAGGGGTGTGTGACCCAAGACACCCAAAGAAACAGAGACAGAGCATTCAAGGGAAATTCACAAACAGTATCATTTATCTAGTGCCATTTACCTAGTTTGTATTCATTTTTAGCCAGAAATTAATTCCCTTGTTACTTCCAACTTTCTTCTAACCAGGTGAGAGAAAGACAGAGTGATGTTAGGAATTGTAGAGCTAAACTTTAAAGATCCATTCCAGAAAATGTATGTTTTAATAGGTGACGTTCATCCATATGTATTTAATGAGATTGTTAATGCATCTGTATTTGTTTGCATCATTATAGTTTATATATTTTTGTTTCCATATTCTTTATTTCCTTACATTAGTGAAACATTTTTTTTAAAAATTTTCTGTTACTTTGTAAAGGTAGGTTATAATTCTACCCCTTTAATGATTTACCCTTATTTTTAACATACATACATACATAAGTATATAGTTTGCTAAATATTTTCAATGTTTCTATTCTCCCAAACAGCTGACAGATCTGAGGGTGTTTTCTTGCTCAGTGAGCACCACCACCCTTCTTGGCAATTTGATTAGTTATACTTTAAAATGAAATCATATGCACAATAGGTTATTATTCTATAGCTAATAGTTAAACTTACCGATCTTTAAAAGAATTTCCATGCACATCGTTTTTGTTTCTGTCTGTCTGTATCAAATTTGGCCCCTCTGAGTTTTCTTCTAAATGAAAACTTTGCTTTGTGTGTTAGAGTTCACTTCATTCTGGTGAAAATGCCTTCCTTTCACCTTCCCTCTTGGATTATAGTTCAGACAGTTATACAATTAGAACTGGACCAATATTTTTATATGGTATTGACTTCTGGCATGTTACTGACCATGACAAGTGTGCTGCCAGTTTGTTATTTTTTACTTCCTTGGTAACCTATATGGGAAACCTGAAAGACGTTTTACTCTTTATACATCATGTTCTGCAAGTTCTTTATAATAATGTCTAGTTGTGAATCTATCTTAATTTATCTTATTAGGAATTCAGAATTCCCTTCTAATTCAAAGAACCATAGTTCTTCAACTTTGGAAAATTTAAACTCTCAACCCATATACGTTTTATTTCTCATGTTTTCCAGCCTCTTGAGCTGACAATACTTAAATGACTTACATGGAAAACTTGCCAATTAATCTACTCTTAATTTTATGCCATCTGTTTTGTAATTTCACTATAATTTTCATGTTTGGATGTTTAATGGTTTCTGCTTAATATTTACCTGTTCCTGATTTATTGCCTCCTATTTTTATTATCTGGCTCTTTTAAAAAACATTCATGAACTCATTTATCTTTCTGAGCATTATTATAATACTTTGTCAGACTTTTCCATAAGGTTAATTTCTTTTGTAATGAATTCATGTTTCTATTGTGGAGTTTTGTTGGCTGCCATTTTTAGAAGCGGATTCAGATTATGTTAGAATTTAGAATGAGTTCTCTGTGTGTTTGGAATTTTGATCTGCAGGAACATTTATCTCCCTCTTTTCCTGTCCGAAATCTACTTCTCCCTCTGAGGTCTCACCTCCTATCGCTGTTTTGATTGTCTCTATCCAGCCTTCCGGGGCTCTAGTTTAGAGTAAGATTTTAAGAGTCATTTCAAGGCTCTGAGTGTAACATTGGGGTTAGGGAAAGAGGCCTGGGCTAGGGTTGTGGCTAGGTCCTCTCATTGTGAGGCTATGTCTATCATTGCTTCTTGCCTAAAGTAGTAACTACATACTTTATTTCAGTCCTTTAAAAGTTGGAGCAGGAAAACTATCCCAGGTCCTGGTATGGCGCGGTAGCCTGCCTCTGGCCCTCTAGTGCACACAGAGGGCTTTTGTTGACATTGACTTGAGCAGAGCACAATTCTGGGTCACAAGCCTCCTTCAGGACCTGAAGCTCAGTAGACCTGCAGCTGGGACCTGCTCAGTGCTTTGTGTTTCTATCCTATACAGGTGCTTAGCTTGCTTTGATCGTGGATATGTCATATAAGCCTTATATAGGGTGTCCCCCAGAAATGTATTCTCATACTTTGAATGATTATAAAGGCAGTGTTTATTAAATCACACACTTTAACAGCTGATAGTTCAATGAAAATGAAATATAAAATATATTTGAAATATCATTGAAAGTGAAATATATTTTAATAAATTACATATATGTAATAAATTACATATTACATAAATTTGTTATATATAAATATATACTAGGCCTTTTATATTTTATATTT